AAACTTTTAGGGGGCAAAAAACTATTTTCAAGTTTACTTAAACTTTGTTATGTCATCTTCTGTTTTCTACTGTTTTATTCCAGATATCCTAAAGTTATACAATTTACATTTCATATTTTGATAATTTATCATTCACTAATGAGATGCACTATTTGTCTTTCTGTTACAAGCATTTTGTGTATGTCACTGAACACACTTAAAAAGCTGATTCAGAATATTTGCTTATTCAACACCTGGTTAATCTCATTGCTGCTGTCCATTGATTGCCTTTTCTCTTAAGTGTGGTTACCTTTTATTGTGTTTTGGTATGTCTAACATTTTTTTTAAAAACTGAATCCTGGTGCTGTAAATGATAAAACGAGTTAATTCTGCATTCCATTAACCTCTTATGAAGAGTATTCATCCACTGATTTTGTTGTTATTCCATCAATTGGTTAACTTATTAGGATTAAAACTCCAAAATCATATCTTCCCTGAGGAATTGTAGCAACCTTGATCTCTGTTCAGTTCTTTTGTCTCAGCTGGGATACTTGGATTCTGCCGAGGGATGTGTAGGTCTGACACCCGTGAGAAATTTAGGCAGAGTTTGTGCATGGATTTTGAGGCTGTCTTTCTGTGACACTATTCTGGTATCTCTCCTTTGACTGAACAGCTGCTGTGGCTGTCTCAAGTTCTGCTCTGGGTCTTTAAGTCAGCAGAACTGTGAGTTCATATTTGAATGTTAGCCATACTTCATTGTGTGGGTCACCCAGGGTACTTTCCTTCTCTGCTGGTGGAGAATGTCTGGCCCATGAGCTATATAAGGCCATTTGGTCTGGCTCTGCCCAGGCTACTCTACTCCAGGCTGAACTTGAAATTCAGTAAATCTCTATCAGGTTAATTTGTATGTTCATAATTTGATATGGTCTGTAAGTGATGTTATAAATATCCCAATTGCCATAGGCAGAAAGAAGGTTCCCCATCCCTTTCACTCATACATATTTGTTTTTCCTTACCTGTTCTTCGTTGCTCTCTAGTTATTTTTTAATATATATTTCTTAATCCAGAATTTGTAGCTATTGTCAATGGGAACATTGCTTCAATAGGAACTACTCAATAATGATTGAAAACAGTACATCCATAAGTAGATTTAAAAATGCTTCCACCATCTTAAGCTACAATATGGGATTTAGAGAAAGAAATACTTGAAATTATGTTAATATGTGTGAACATACCACATTATTTGTAAAGCAAATGTCTTAAAAGCATCTAAATGACACAGTGTGAATAGTTGGTGTTTTTTCTAAATATTTGCCATATTATAGCAGAATTTCTGTTTTTCATATGATATAGATATAATCTAACTTGTCTGCTTACTAAATATACATGTATTATATAAGTCCATGTATAGTGTATATATATTTATATATCTTAATCTCTAATCAAATATTGACTGTAGAGTAAATGGGTATTTGCTTTTGTTCAAAGTTTGTTCTTTAACAATCTAAATTGAAGTAAACTTACTTGGTCTAGATACCATTCAGGACTAAATGTCAATGATAGTTGTATGGATAATGATCACTGACTGTTCTGTCGTTAACATTACAGAACCTCAAATTGAATTAAAAGACTGTTCGCCAATATTCTAGAGAGATTCATCAGCTGTTTGTAGTTCATTTACACTCCCAATTGTTTACCTGGTTTTAACCAAGTAACCCATATTGAATATAGCAATGAGTGCTTTTGAATGAGAATAAATAGGTGCTGCATAATAGATGCGACATATCGTGAAAGTGGGTTGCAATCTATAATGTGACATGCTGAAGGGTCAATAAAAGCTCAGGTATTGACTGATTCTTCACATTGGTCATTAGCAACTAATTGGGCACTGTTCCTAAATAATGTACTTTACTAGTTTTTAAAAGCAGAAAAATTCTGATAAAATTTCATAAACCAATTGTTCCCTGAGCACAGAGCAAAGCGTTTAAATTGTGAAAAGATTAATTTTGATCCTGTGATCAATAAGTGTAATGAAACAAATCAGTGGAGGGAAGCCAAAGATGCTCAAAGTAAATTTTATTAATGTTTTGGTTTTATGCATAGAAAATTCAATGAAGCAACAATAGAATGGTGACTGGGTACATTCCTTATTTTATTAAATGTGAAAATTTAAAAACTTTGCCAAGTTCTAGGCTTTAGCTTTTCTTTATGCCTTGATGAAGTCTTTTGAGGTTTTTAAAGGGCTTGGTTCTAATCATGTAATCATTCTTAACTTTATAGCTGTTTATCTTCTCAGAATGGCACTTTTTTCTCTGTAAATATAATTAGTATTTTATGCAATGGAATTATTGATATGATTAAAAATGGTTATATGAAGAATGAGAGAGGTTCTGAATCGGTGCTGCTTCCATGTATACCATTTTGCTTCCACTAAATTCATTTAATCCTGTGGAACAAAGTAATACGTAATTCAGTTCTATGTTGTAAAATAATTTTTTCTCACTATCTTATGTTTTTCCTTCCTCCCATGATTAGGCCTGGTCAGGTCAAATCTGATCCTGCAAGACTGCACCCTAGCAGGGACTGGGTGGGCTTACCCACATCTCTAAAACAAGACCTAAGGTCATAGTCAAGGTCAGGACCAGTACCTGTTAAAAGCAGAGTCAATGATCACTGAACCAAACTGGCAATGTCCTAGGGAAGTCTTAGAGCTGTTGGCAACTGATGATGTCTTATGTAATGAACTTGGCTTTCCTTGAAGGGGATGGATGGGGCTTTACTCCATGCCTCATTCTATTGGCCACCAAGATGAATAGCAGATGTATGGCCTCTTGAAAACAATGCCTAACATCTCTCTTCCTTTATCCTATGTGTTTTTCTATACTAAATATTATACTTTTGAAGAAGTGTGGGAAAAAAGACTAAAATTGCTAACAGTGACAAACAGGCAGTTGTGTATTTTTATATTCATATATGAATATATATGAACCATTATGCACAGACTGTATATAATCTCTCTGCATCTAGTGTCAGTATCCTACACAACTGCATAATCTTGTACTTTAGAACGACTACAAATACAATTGCCGTAATGTGCAGTCAACTGGAGGCTTTCTGCCTGAAGTCCATACTCAGGCCATTCAGTGTGCTCAGCGTGTTTTATTCTCCTTCCTTTTTTTGTGTGTGTGAGAGAGACTAATGCTAAGGTTCTAATCCTTCATGGAAAATGGCATTGTGAAAAGAAACTATACATGAGTTTCAAATTTTTTGCATGAAAATAAAATTGTATTTCCAATGTTACATGAATTTTTGAAATATCCTTGTGAAGATGATGCTAGCACATATCTCATAGGGATATTTTGAATAGCAAATTAGTCCATGCAGATAAAGAGTGTGAAACAGTGTCAGCACAATTTGTTTTTTATACGTACAAGTGTACCAGTTCCCTTTGTTTACAAAGGCTGCTTATAGATAACATGGGAAGTTACAGTAGCATCTTGTATAGAATTTCATTACAGTTTTGTACTTAAAAAGGGCATCAAAAACTGCAGTCTAGTAAATCTGACTCAAATGACATTTTTTCTTTTTAAATAATATGTAACTAACACGTACAGCACCAACTGTACATAAGCTCTCTTTTAAATCGGCAGTTGGAGATACAGTAGCAGGCAGCTTGTAGTATTAACTGACCTTCCCATCAGTGTACCTTATTTAAGGTTGGCACTGTTCTTTATTCAGGAGCTTGTGTTGCTAAGTTTATAATATTAATCACCGACACCAAGTAGGTACAATTCAAAGGAGGCAGACAATCAGCCAGCAGGAACTACTACAGTGAGTATTCCTCTGACAGGAATCACTTGTAACCATGCATGACAGAATAGTGCCTGGCATGTGATAGATATTCCACAGTGCTGGCTATCATCATCATTTACAACATTTATCTAGCCAATATTCATAATTCATCAGTTCATTCTTTTACAGAAATATTGAGTGACTGCTTTGTTCCCAGTATGTGACAAGTGTTAAGGATAATGGAAAGGGGAAAACACTTTGGAACTGAAAACGCTAGAGATTTCAGTAAACTATCAGGCTACAAGAGTTAGTGAGGAAGGATTTTCTATTAGAAGTTGAATGGATGTAGACATACTTGGAACATGTAAAAAGCTGAAACACCCTAACTAGTTGGTATGTTCCTTAAATAATTGAATCAAATTATTAGCAGGCTCAGATTCACTTTGTCCTAGAAATTCCTGTACAGTAATTGAAAAGAGACTTACAAAATAAAGACATTTGACACGCATGAGGCAGAATTGACATTGAATTACAGGAAGTAAAGAGCCTGAATTGGCATCTCACATGGAAAGAAAGTCCTCCCTGGCCTTTCTGAGACCTCTGAGATTTTATCTATGCAAGTCAAACACTTCTCTTTTATCTGAGAAATAATTTCTGCTTTATGATCATTGACTATTATGAGAACTTGGTTTTGGCAAGATATTGATGTATAATATGGCTGTAAAGTACAGAAATCAGTGAGGAATGACTTTCCAAAATCTCTCATCATTCTCTGTCTTCCTTAGTTTGAATATAGAGGATTCATAACTCTAAGCATTTATAGTAAGTTGTAATTAGTGTATATGGTGACCATAAAAAACAAAGTTACATAGCTGCAGAAACTTTACATTTGGCTATAGTTTAATATTAGATATAAAATAGCTGAAATGGAAAATGGAAAATTTTGTATTATCCTTACCAATAATGTACTCAGAAGATTTCTGGAATATGTAGTAGAGACAGGACCTTCTTTCAAATTAAATATTAGAGGTTAAAAATTAAGAAGACAGTGCTAGCTTCAATTCTTTGTATAATACAGCATTTATATAATATACTGAGTTAATTCAGTTATATCACTTATTTGTGGATTAATTAAAATTAATGAAAAAATCTATTTTAATTGCATTTTGAAATATAGAAAAATTATAACTGTTTAGCCGACAAACCTTCATTGGTCCATTTCTTTTCAGGTTTATTCCCTGCTGTCCTGAATCTTGCGTCAAATGCTCTCATCACAACCAATGCAACATGTGGAGAAAAAGAACCTGAAATGTATTGCAAGTTGGTAGAGCATGTCCCTGGGCAGCCTGTAAGGAATCCACAATGTCGAATCTGCAATCAAAATAGCACCAATCCAAACCGTATGTATTTTAGTGTATAATTCTTTGTAATGGCTGCATCTATATTTGAGATATTTTGGACCCAGGTTATATTAAATCCAAAGAACTTGTGGTCTCAGGAATGCGAGAACTTTTCTTATATTTTGAGCCATTTTGTGTCCTACCCAACCCATCATTAAACTAATGTTGTATATTTGAATTCCCAATATGTGCCAGGCATAGCGATCAGAAAGGATTCTCACTTGAAAAATTATGACAGTCATTAGATTGGCTGCATCCTGGCATACGAGGATGCCTTATTAATTTGGGCTATAGTTCTTGTTCCAGGTACTGTGTGTGAGACTGAAGAGGGAATAGGTGTGGTCCTTGGACTCAGCTAATGAGGAAATCATGCAAGAAGCTGACTGTTGTTCTGTAATATGGTAGGGCATGATGGAAGAAATGAGCACAGGGTCCTAAAGAAGAGTCACAAAGTCAGCCTTGGCATAAATGAAGGCTTCCTGTTAGAAGTAATATCTCATTCAGTGTAATCAGACCTTCACCTCCTCTCTTCCAAGGTGGTCAGTGTCCTATATTAGACCACAGTGGGTACAACATTCACCCATGCTGCGACATGAACTGCACAAAGGATCTGTGCAGGCCTCATGTGAACACAGATCCCACTACAATAACCCACCCCAGGCAATCAGGGAGGCCTGAGCCTTTAGTACTGCACATAGTGATTTCTCAGAGACCCAGCTACACACTGCACCCTTATCTTTGAGTCAGAGAGTTTCCACCTTCTTAGTGCAAAAGACTCACACAGTCTTGAGGAGCAGAAGATGCACTGTGTCCTGCCAGCCTCTTCTCTGATGACAATAGAGAAGATCTACCATGCCCAACTGGGGTGTCACACTGGATACTTGCCCCACCTTGGAGCACTGACCAGAGCTCCCTGACTACACTCAACACACACCTCTGGGTATTCACTGAAAGAGCAGACACTCCATTAAGCTAAGGAGACATAGGTCAAAGATAACAGCCATTAGAGGAGAAAACCGAATACTCCCACAATGCCAAAAAATAAATTCATAAATTCAAGAAACAAGAATAAGGAACACAAGATGACACCCCCAAAGGAACACAGCACTTCGGTATTAGAATGTGAAGATGAAGAGATAAGAGACTGATGAAACTCTTGAAAAAGGAATTCAAAAAACTAATCATAGAATTAATCAGAAGCAATGAGAAACAAATTGACAAGTTAGAGAAATCCATACATGACATGGAAGAAAATTTCTCCTATGAGATTTATATTTTGAAGAGAAATCAAACTGAAACATTGGAAATGAAGAATTCAATATGTAAAATAACAAATACAGTGAAAAGCCTTAATGACAGACTTGGTGAGGGAGAAGGAAGTATATCCTTGCTAGAAGAGAAGTCTTTGGAAATTTCTTAGACCAAAAGCTGAAGAAATAATTAGAAAAATTATAAACAGTGTTGGAGATTTGTGGGATACTATCAGATGACCCAACATATGGGTCTTAGGAGTTCTTGAAGGTGTAGAAAGAGAGAATGGATTAGAAGGCCTGTTCAGTGAAATAATTACAGAAAACTTTCCCAACTTGGAGAAAGGATGTCCAAGTAAACAAGTCACACAGAACTCCAAATAGACATTACCAGGAAAGATCTTCCAGACGACATGTTGCAGTCAAACTCAGACTTTCAATAGAAAACATGAAGAATAGATTCTAATATGTGCATAAGAAAAACACCAAATTACTATCAGGATCCCCAACTAGATTCGCAACTGAATTCACATCAGAAACCCTAGGGGCTAGGATAAAATGGAGAGACATAGTCCAAGTATTAAAAGAAAAAAAAAACTGTCAGCAAAGAATACTCTGTCCTGCAATGCTCTCATTTATGAATGAAGGTGAAATAAAGACTTCTTATACCCAACAAATTGAAAAAATTTGTCACTACTTTTCCAGCCTTAGAAATGATGCTCAAGGATGTGCCAAACAACATATAAAAAACACATGGGATACAGCAAAAAGCAGTGTTAGAGGGAAGTTTATAGCAATTGGTGCTCACATCAAGAAATTGGAAGGAACTGAATGAATAAAATTAAACACAAAATTTTAATTTATTACATGTTAAGAAATGTAACATGCAAATATATATTGTGTATGTGTGTTTATACACTACTAATTTCATAAATCATTTTATGTACTCAAAAAATGGATGAGTGGAGAGGGAGAGTTATAGAAGAATGGAAATCATGTATGCTTGTATATATACATGTATGTGTATATATGTGTGTAAGTATATGTATATGTTTACTGAATATGTAAAAACATACATACGGGTTGTATACATTGTGTTAAATATAGATTTATACAGTGATATATTTTCATACATAAAATATGAATATATGTATGTGAATGCACATACACATGCATAGGGAATGAGATAAAGAAACAAATGCATACAATCCTAGAGACATGATTGGATGAAAATGCCAAGATTGAGGTAGAAAATAGGTAGATACTTGATTGGAAAGTTGGTTGAAATACATTTGTCAAACTAAGTCCAATAGCTACATTGTGACTTATCTTCAAGGTTCTCTATTCAAGGTCTCTTATACCTCTTGGAAGATATCAGTGTGTAAGTAATCCTACTCATGTTTTCACACTGTAGCCAAATTGAATAATTGGTTTCAGTAAGAAAAGACACATATGTAGTGTACTTTGTATTTCTAAATTTATATTTACTTGTAGTGTTTTTAAATTTGACTGGCTTCATTGCATTTCTAAATCATGTTTTGTACTAGAAATTTAGAAAAAAATAAATCCCTACAAGAGTAAAAACCAAGCAGTAAATCACATGAATGTGTTAAAAGCAACAGATGATAAAATTACAAAGATTCAGTGAACTTGTAGAATAAGTCAGGAATGTCTGCACTTAATTACTCATGCAAAGAAAAACCATGGTGAACTTTCTGACTGTTGATACAGTATGCCTCGCAATTAAAAACTAGCAGTTTAAAAGTTTTACCGCAACAATTCCCTAGCCAGTTTTCAGATGGTATTAGTCATTTGGTTGAGCTGCATAGTTACCTCTGTCAAGAATGTTTTATGTTTCCATCTCTTTTTAAAAAAGGGAAGTACACTAGCAATTAATCAGTATTTGCAAATTAATCATGATTAAACTTTAATAATGAGCATTATGACTAATTGTTGATTCATCTCCCAGTCCTCCTTTTCATGACTTATTCTCATATCAGTTTGACCCAAGGTGGCCTGTATCAAAGTTTCTAATTAAAAGATGTCTCTCACTATTACCTAAGAGCCATGAATTTGATCTGGAAATGTCAGGATTTATGTGTTTATTTCTATCATACTTTAAGCCCACAATCTGTAAAGGTGATTTTGAAGAATGTTTGCTATGATATTTATTTTTTTCCTTAGAAGCAATGCCAGTAATATTTCATTTAAGGTTCTGATTCTTAATGTGCCAATTTCTACACTCACTCATACCACCAGGGGCATTTAATTGATATGTTATTTATCTATTTATTATTATAATGACCTACAACCTTCTGCATCTTAAATAACTAGTGGTAATTATTAAATATGTTCAGGAGCCTCATCTCATGGACTCCTAATATGATAAGAATTGGTACAAAATAAAGTCTGTCTAGCTGTTTAATTATAATTTTGCCAAAAAGTGAAATATTTTTATCCTGTTCCATACACTCAGATCCTGAAATATGAATTTTGTATTTGAAAATTTGGTGTCATACTATAAGTAATACAAAGACATAGCCTTTATGGTTTTAGCTAAAAGTTAAAGCTGACTGCTTAAATAAAATTAATATGATAAAACTTTTCACAAATCAGAAAATAACAAATTTGATAAATACTCAGCTTTTAATATAAAACTTCACTGTCAGACTTCTATGGCATGGAGGACTTATTATTGCTTAATTCTTAATTTTTATTTACAAAATTTTTATTAAGTATAATTTATCTCTAAGATTGAGAAGAGTATACATTTTGAACACATGCATTTTATGTACACATATGGACAGTTACATTATTAATAGCTGTGGTGTTTATAGGTGACCCTGTGAGTCCAAAGTTCCAATATGAGTTGTCTTCAATAGTCTATGACAAATGAGGACAGTTTTTTTCATGAAAACAAAAAGGCTGCACTTTAAAAGATTGTCTTTCATTTTAATATTATGTCTTTTAAAAACTACTGTATTAAATGTCCTTCATTTCATGAAATAATATAGCATATTAAATGATGGTAGAAGTAGATTGTGGGTTGTTATTTGAAAAATGCAAAGCTAACTCCACCATTTGGGGCAAGTCTGATTGAGCATGTCCAAATGGTGGAGTTAGAAATGTGCCAGGGGATTCCAACACAATCCCATCAAAATTGCATGTACCAATGCCATCTCACTAGTCCAAGTGATCAATTTCAATTCACAGTTGATCACACTGATAGGTCTAAGAGTCAAAGGGATCACACAAACAAGACTAGTGTCTGCTAATACTAACTGATAAAATAAAAAATGGAGAGAATGATCCAACATGGGAAGCGGGATACACAGCAGACTCGTAGAATGGCAGGTGTCCTAAACAGCACTTTGGCCTCAGAATCAGCCCTTAAGGCATTCGGATCTGGCTGAAGAGCCCATGAGAGTATTTTAGGCATGGAAAGCCAAGACACTCTGGCAAACAAACAAACAAACAAACAAAAAAACAACTACATGAAAGATCTCTGCACTGTGAGTGAGATCCCAGTGGAAAGAACGGGGCCATCAAAGAAGGAGGTACCTTTCTCTGAAGGGAGGAGAGAACTTCCACTTTGACTATGACCTTGTCTAAATAAGATCAGAGTCAGCGAACTCAAGAGGCTTCCATAGCCTTGGCAACTCATGACTAGAGCCTAGGGAGATTACTGACACCATAAACAAGAGTGTCAAATTGTTAAGTCAACAACAGGAGTCACTGTGTACTTACTCCTTATGTGGGATCTCTGTCCTTAATATGTTGTCCAATGTGAAGTAATGCTATAATTAGTACTGAAACAGTATTTTACACTTTTATGTTCTGTGTGGGTGCAAACTGATGAAATGTTTAATATATAGTAAATCGATCTTCTGTATATAAAGATAATTGAAAATGAATCTTGATGTGAATGGAATGGGAGAGGGAGCGGGAGATGGGAGGGGTGCGGGTGGGAGGGAAGTTATGGGGGGGAAGCCATTGTAATCCATGAACTGTACTTTGGAAAATTATATTTACTAAATAAAAGTTTTTTTAAAAAAATGCACAGCTCGAACTTGTTTTTCAATTACACAAAGCTCTCAGATACTATTTTTTTAAGTTTTAATTTTCTTTCTGAAAGTGAAAAATCTGGAAGCTACTGATGTGAGTAGAATTTTGTTATCCCTTTTTCAGGGATACACACAGAGGTATTGTCCATGTTCAGTTAAGTACTAAATGTTGGAGCCAGGAGAATTATCTAGCACCACATATGTCAGCTCCTCTTATTCTAAATCTTGTACCCATTCATTACCATTAGAATACACAGCTGGCTTACTACCTCACATAGGCAAATTGAGAGTCCAAGATTGCTACTTACAGTGGGGGTGATTTGTTCATTATGTGAGGTATTCCTTCAATTTACAAAAGGATTGTGTTCTAATCTAAAAGACTGTTCATTTAAAACATCTTTTCAGAAAATAAGCCATACCAAAGCTGTCAGTTGTCACTTCAGGGTGTACTTAATCTGTAAGGAACAGGAGAATGCCAGGGAAACTTGCTTCCACTTTGCTTACGCTTCAGTGGACAAATGTGTTCACTTCCAAGTGAGACAAGAAACAGCTAGATTTCTTACTGCAGATCCAGGGATATCAACAATCTGCACTCCTTCCATCATCCTCCATGAGCTGGGCCTCTTTAGAAGAGGAGGAAAGGAATAGAAGTTGGGTTACTTGGAAAATGAAATCTAAAGATTTCAAACGAGAACTGAAGACTGGGAGCCAAGACGTCACCAAAGCGTGAGAGGACCCAGGTCTTATACTGACGCCTTTGTTGAGCTACATTGAAAGAGATAAGAATCTTCAAGGTTGCAGGATTATAAGAAAGAAGTTAGCTACTATAATTAATGATTATGTGGGGCAGGTGCTGTGTCCTAGTGGGTAAAGCCGCCACCTGCAATGCCAGCATCCCCTATGGGCGCTGGTTCGAGACCCAGCTATTCCACTTCCAACCCAACCCTCTGCTATGGCTTGGGAGAGCAGTAGAATATGGTACGAGTCCTTGGGCCTCTGCACCCAGGTGGGAGACCTGGAAGAATTTCCTGGCTCCTGGCTTCAGATCAGTGCAGCTCCAGCTGTTGTGGCCAATTGGGGACTGAACCAGTGAATAGAAGACCTCTCTCGCCCCCTCTCTCTGCCTCTCCTTCTCTTTCTGTGTAACTCTTTCAAATAAATAAATAAATCTTTAAAAAAAAAGATTATATGAAGTTTGGGACATTTTTCATGATAGTTTTTGGTAGTAGAAGAAAATTGGCAAGTTGAAGAATTGCTGCAAAAAGCCTCATAGGGAGGCTTTAACAACATCTTGTATTAAAACCAGATACACACTGGATTGCCCAAGTCTTGGTAATAATGAATGTGTCAGATGGGCAAATCTTCAAATGCCTTTCTACCACAATTCCCAATTTCCTGTTTTTGTTCACAAAGTGGATGGCCTAGTAGAGCTGCTTCAAACAGTAGAGATTTGCTTTGAATGATTGACACATCAATTGGATTTCAATATTATTTCTTCACACTTTCTTTGGTTATCTTTAAAGCTGCCCATTTTAGTTGATGCTGCAGTGCCAAGCAGCTTCTCTTACAGCCTAAGCATTTAACAATTTCCTAATGCCATGCACAGTACTATGAAACAGTTGTCTCTTAATAAATTCTGTTAGCGATATGAGTTGCTCTCTTTTTATTTTTATGTTTGATATCCACAGGATGATTGTTTTAATTAGCTTTACTTTTTTTTCCCTTTAAAGAAATAACTGTCAACTCATTATATGATCTTCTCTCCTCCTTTCTCATGCTACTAATGACTGAATAGAGAGACACCCGATTACAAACGCTATTGATGGGAAGAACACTTGGTGGCAGAGTCCCAGTATTAAGAATGGAATCGAATACCATTATGTGACAATTACGCTTGATTTACAACAGGTATAGTGCCTCCTTCTTCTTTTTCACTCTTCAAATTGTATCTTGTATTTGGTATTTATTTGTTTTTTTGAGCAAGCACATATTATTTCTTATCACATTCTATTATTTTCTTGATACAATGAACAAAGGGCCCTGCTCATTTGTAGCTACATTAAACTTTGACATTTGTTTATGATGTGCAGCTAAAATGCTTCCACGTGAAGGGTTTTAGGAATTGAACAAGAGCTGACTCCGTGTGAATTCATTGGACTTAATGAAAATACAGATTAACCAACTTTCACATAAAGAAAATGCAACAGTGCCATTTTTAATTTTTAAGATAACAATGGCATGTGCACTTAAAGGTTCTTGGATAACAAGGATTTGGGGTAAATTTCCTCTTATTACTGAGAGTTGAGCAGACTATTGCAGTTTGGTTAAATTAAATTTGAGCCACTAAACAAAGTAAGAAGCCTTGTATTTGCAAAAACTTTTCAAAATTTTGTGGGAAAATGCATATTATGAAAAATTATGTGAGGATGTTAATTTTTTCACATTAAAAATTCCAATTTCCACAAACATTTGAATTAACCTCGTATATAAAATTGATGCTAGAAGTTGTTAGAATTTGTGTTGCATTGGCTGAGTGCCTTCTTAATGTCTTTATTACTTCTGTTTACAAAACTCAGATCAAGCTCAAGTTATTAATCAAGAAGCATTATCCCCAAAGTATTTAGGCTTGCAAATTGATTTAGTGTGGGATCTAGAAAAATATTCCCCTATTTTCCTGTTAATTCCAAATACAAAGTGATTTAATTGTCTGAAGGCTGAGATTGGAGGCATTGAACATAATGACCCTTATAATTCAACCTGTTTCTCTTAGTTTCTATGAAATCAGCCTAGAAGGAATCCTCATCTTTTCCTTCTTTACCCATTGTGGAAACACATCAGGAAGAGTTCATGGTTAGTGAAGCAGGGATGGTCAACGTAGCTAATCACAAACCCTGTACACCAGAGAGCTCGTGGTTTTCACAGGTTGTCATGGTGTGGGTAGGCAGGAACCAGTGGAGCATCAGCAGTTTCTCTAGTGGATGTCATTTGCCACAAACATAAGGACAATTTCCTTCCTCCAGAGTCTAGGCCCATTTCATCAAAGGCTGCACCAATGAAGTCTCACAGATACAGTTAACTGACTGGGGAGCCATCACCGTGATAACTCCCATTGCTCAACCCTGCTTCCATGCGAAAGGGATGCTTCAGGATCTGGGCAAATGGATGGCACAGGGGCTCAGTGCTGCAGCTCAGTTGCCACTGCCATGAATTAATTCTATCCATCCCGATATATAGCAGCTGAATATCAGCGCGGAGTGAACATCTACTAGGCAATCCTGGAGCATTGTCAGGGAGTGGCTTAATCAGGCTTTAGGTCATTTAACCCCATGCGTGAATTCCCAGAGATCCTAGCCTCAAAATGGACTTTGTCCCCCTTTGGTTAAAAAACAACTGGGCCAGTAATTCCTCAACTCATATGATCCTTAAAAGTCTACTTCGCCAATTAAGAATGAGTTGGTTGTCCAATGAATTGGGTCACCTCCTGGGACAGAGAATTAATAAATAGTGATGGTTTATTGCTCTCTACTTATTTAGATTGCACATGCAGCAAGAGTCCGTTATTAATATAATTTGTATAAATCACTTACACTACCTTTTGAACTTAAACATAATACCATTTACCTGTCATCAAACATAGCATTTTTACCTTGAATTTACAGCTGGATGGTGTAATCACAAGTTTTTACTAAATCATTTCTTTGAATTTTTTTTAAAGAAATCATCCATTTGAGAGAGATAATATGAATGTGTGTGTTCTCATCCTTTTATTCATTCCCCAACTGCCTACAGTCATCAAGGTCAAGGTAGAGCCAAATTTAGGCATAGTGAACACAGTTCAAGTCTCCTACCTGAATGCCAGGTGCCCAGTTAACTGAGTCATCCAGTTGCAGTGAGGTGGAATTGGGTGCCAGAAGTGGGAATCAAATCAAGATGCTTCATTGTGCAGTGTCAGCTTCTTTTTACTTTTTCTTCTTTTTTCTAATTTTTTTTTTGAAAATTTTACTTGACAGAGACAGAGAGAAAGGTCTTCCTTCCGTTGGTTTACCCCTGAAATGGTCGCTACAGCCGGTGCGCTGCGCCCATATGAAGCCAGGATCCAGGTGCTTCCCCCTGGTTTCCCATGCAGGGGCAGGGTCCAAGCACTTGGGCCATCCTCCACTGCCCTCCCGGGCCACAGCAGAGAGCTGGACTGGAAGAGGAGCAACCGGGACTAGAACCCAGTTCCCATGTGGGATGCCAGCACCGCAGGCAGAGGATCAACCAAGTGAGCCACGGTGCCGGCCCCTCTTCTTTTTTTAAGATCCACTTATTTATTTGAAAGTCAGAGTTGCAGCTATCTGGTTCACTACTCCAGGTTGAAACCAAGAGCTTCATCTGGGTCTTCCATATGGATGCTAGGGGCCCAAACACTTGGGCCATCCTCTACTGCTTTTCCCAGGCCATTAGAAGGGAGTGGAACAGCCAGGGTGTGAACCAGCCACAATGTCATGGGCAGAGGCTTTTCGTGCTACGGCACCATGCCAGCCCTACAAGGCAAGCTTCTCAACTGGCATCTGAAGGCCTAGGCTACATGTCGATCCCCTTACAAAATGATTTCTATCCAACTTTCCTATCAGTATTAATGCAGCCAGTCAGAGGATTCACTTGAAAGCTCGTTTTTTCAATGAAGCCATCTATATTTTCCTAAATTTGTTTTGCATGCGCACTTACGCATTCCCACAGTGTTTCTTAATATATGGATTTGTTTTCCTGATTTTCTTTTCTTCCTCCCATTTATCTTAATACCCTTAAGATGAATGAATTGTCAAAGAAATCTTAATGATCGGTCACTATAACAAGTAGCAGAGTTCTGTGTATAACCCAGGTCTCCTGGCTCTGAAGTCTGGAATTGCAAGTGGGACTGGCTCAGAGCATAAGTGTGCCAATGGCCCTACGTTCTAGGGATGTGTCTGCCTACATCCTCATTTACTTGAGCCCTCTCCTATTTCTGGCAAATCAGCCTACTTTGTATAGGGGATCAGAGAGAGGGGATCACAAATCCTCTATAAAATGATATAAATCATTATTGCTACTTGAGTCAATGTTTTAATTTAGTCAAATATTCAGTTACGTAAAAAGTTACACTGATTTTGTTGGAATTCTTCTGAAAAATGGGATTAACATTTCTCATTTGACCTCAGACTTGGGAATGAGAAACAGCACCACATGTGGGTAACACTTCCTGAGCAATGAAACAAAGCTGCAGAAAGACAATTTTAAAACATATGCAATGGAAACAGCATGGACATCCATGTTATTTAACTTCTCAAAATAGCCCTGTGAGGTACCCAGTGTTATAGTTGAATAGTTGAAGCAATTGAGTCTTCTAAAAGTTAAACTACTTGGACTACTTTATAAACTTAGTGTAGGGAAGGCTGTGATTTCATCCTGGTCTAAACCCAGAACTCATACTCTACTAGTTATCTCCTAACTGGGAATCTGAAGATCTCAGCCTAGAGAGCTCATAAGAATTTTTTGTTAAATGTATTTTAAGCCACCACGCCTCCTCCCCAGTTCAGGTTCAAGAATCACCACACTATGTTCTTCTGGATTCCATGGGAAAATACAGACATCATTGGTTTTGTCACAAAATGGGAATGAGTCTTCCATTTCCTGGTACACTCCAATGCCTCTAAAGTGGCATAGATTCTCTTTCCTATACCATGTAGGATTACTAGGTTATTCAGCACAATATGAGGTATTATCCAGGTGGGAGCCAAAGCTAGGAGTGTTGTAATAAATGTGTACATATCACTAAATAATTGATTGCCATTGGTTCATCCAAAGATTTGAGCATTTATTAGTTTTCCTCGTTAAGATGTGTGAATCTCAACAAGTGCCATAGCTACATAGTTCCTGTATGAAGCACTTTTTAATAAATTACAATTTTAAATTTCAATGCACATTAGATTTCCTTGATTAAATCACCACACTGGGAAATTTCTTTTACATTTTAACATTTGCAATAAGTGTTACAATAATAGAATGATTTATTTAGAAGAAAGTAGCTACTTATTTTATAAGTAGATTGTTTTCAGACATTTATTACTAAGGGGTTATTAACTTTTCTGAATTCTATTTACTCACAGGATATCTTGAGCAAATGATTTAATCATTTTGTGCCACAACTTCCAGAGCAGCAGAATAAATATTATAGTATGATGGCAAGAAAGTTGAAATAATGATAATAACAATATAACAACTGAACTCCATCTGGCATTTACAGCTATTATAAGGACCTAGAATCAGTATACACTCCCAGAGAAGCTTAACTCTTTCACTGGTGTGCATGTAAAACCCCAGTGTAACAGCAAACCAAAATAGACAGCAATTTAAGGACAATCAGAAGGGCTCATTAAAGGGTAGGATTTCAACATACAGTTTTTTCCGGGGAGGTAAGCTGATATTTTCTATATAAAGCATGAAGTAAATTTTCTCTCTAATCTTTCTAAAGATGCTGTAAACATTGTCATATTTGTTACACTCTGTGTGACTGCCACAGTTATAATATTGTTTGGAAAAGGAGGTTCTAATTAATTTAACTCTTCTTTTGTAACCAAGGAGTCTGGGACTAGAATTTATTTTATTTTGTTTTTGGCTTGAGATTTTATTGTTTCCTAGTGGAAAAAATTTGGAATAAGAATGGAGAGGAGGGCTGGCACCAGGGCTTACTAGGCTAATCCTCTGTCTGTGGCGCCGGCACACCAGGTTCTAGTCCCAGTTGGGGCGCCGGATTGGGGCGCCGGATTCTGTCCCGGTTGCTCCTCTTCCAGTCCAGCTCTCTGCTGTGGCCTGGGAGTGCAGTGGAAGATGGCCCAAGTGCTTGGGCCCTGCACCGATATGGGAGACAAGGAGAAGCACCTGGCTTC